TTGAATATTTCTGCTTAGAGACTCAATCAGTTTAATTCCTGAAAAATATGATAAACCATGAAATATCTTACTTGGTTCTTGGAAGGCGCCTTTGGATCTGAAGAGACAAAAAAAAATTGTAATGTACATGTTTTCAAGAAAATCATTTTAAAAATGTATGAATTTTAAATATGTATCATATTTTAGTGTTAAGCATTTGTTAAAAGATCAGAAAGTTTGGTGAGTCAACTAAATATAATTTTAAAGTTATTCTCTTGAAATTCCACATGAATAAAACAGCTTAATATGATTATTTTTTTGTAATTTTCATCCAAGAAAGTTTGTCAGTTTCTGATTCCTCAATAATCAAATGATATATTTTTCTTGATTATTTTTTTTACAGTTGCAAGAGGAAAACTGATTCAATTGAAAAAATTTAGTTTAATTCGGTTCACAAAATTGAAATTAAATCTTCAAAATTATAACCTTGAAAATTTTTAAATACTATTTCACACCAGAAAATTGTCAACTTGCAAGTTGAGTATAATAAAAATTTACAAATGATCTTCATTAAAAAAACATAATTTAAAATTTTTTTTTTTGTTCAAAATCTTTATTTTGTGACTTTCAGAATCAAAATGGATGTCTTAAAATATCTAAGTCATATTTCAGCTTCACAAACAAACAAAGATTCAGGAACTCCACAACTGTTACAGTCCTTCTCACATCTTGCAAGAGACAAAAAGAATAGCCCTCAAGCCTACACAAGTGATATTTTAAAATAGAAAGCAGCATGCACATTCCTGACTGCATTCTTGAAGCCAGGGCTTTACATGCCCTATGGGGAAAGACTATACTAGTAAAGTTTTCTTGTCATAAGTTTTCTGTTTTAGTTTTCTTCTCCTGGAGGGACAATATGCTGGCTGTAAAGATCTTCAAATGCTCCAAATGATTATTTTGACAGACTAGTCAACTGGAACAGATTGAAAGTCAGATTCTGGTCTCACCACAAAAAGTTGTAGTTTATTGATTTTTGTTTACTATTAAGTTTTAACTTAATAGAAATCCTGCAGGCACATTTCATCCTTCTGCTCTTCCATCAGTCCTTCCAGCTCCCACCATATTAAAAAGGTGACATCATTTGCTGATTTACAGTTGTGGGTTAGAAAAGGTGGTTCTATAAAACAGTACTGATAATCTCAGCCTCAATTACTTTCTTGCCATCATAACATAGATTCTGTGTGTCTTTTCTACAGATATTTTCATGACAATTATTCTGATGAGTTTTCCTCTTTGCTAACTTGACTGCATCAATTTAAGTGTGGTAAAAAAGGAGGCATGATAGAGTAATTGACTGTGGTTCGAACTGAAGAATCAGAAAGATGAGTTTGAATTTCACTTGAGTTCATTACATTCACTTAAGTGCTAATACCCTTGGGAAAGGCATGAATCCAACTCTTCTCCCTCTAGCTATGGATAAATAGTAGGACAGACTGGGTTCTATAGCCTTGGGTGGCAACTAGTCTAGGAGAAGGATAACTCTGAATTCAAAACTGCATGTAGCTCTGGTGAAGCTATGCAGCTAAAGAAAGGATCATTTGCATTGACATGATGATCTCAACTACAGTCAACTTATTTTTAAAAAGGACATTTATACTTTTTTTGCTTTGGGTTATTGTAATAAATTCATTTCTATTATTGTCCTCATCTCCAATATTATTATCAGTGTCTCAGCCATTGTGCTCTGTGGCCTTTATCAGATGTTTTTCAATCAGGGTAAACTTCAAAAAATTTTAAACCAAACCCTTTATTTAATCTACCCATAATAGCTGAGTGAATTAAAGCATTGGTTCATGAATTTGGTGACACAGTAATTGTGAGTTCAATTCCTGGGACAGTCAATGCATACTTGGACTCAGTGGAAATAGGATAAACAATAACTGAGCAGTATTAAATAAAAACTGGACAAGATATCCTGAGATATGGTCCATGGAATGAGAACAATCTACCCTTGTAGATTTAATGATGGGTTCAGTTTTAAATTCCCTGTAGGTAACCCAGATCGGCAGGAACCTGATGAAGTCCACTGGGCACAACAGCTGAAATATTGTGATAGCAACAACAAAGATGAGTTCTCATGTAAATGATAATAAGTCCTCATCGCAGATATTCAGGCAGAAAGCGATCAGGTGATAGCAACAACAAAGATGAGGACAATAGTCTGCATGTAAATGATAATAAGTCCTCATCCCAGATATTCAGGTAGAAAGCGATCAGCTGATAGCAACAACAAAGATGAGGACAGTAGACTGAATGTAAGTAATGATAATGCCACATCCCATAACTTCAAGACAGAAATCTATTTTTAATTACCTAAGATTATTTTGTTCAAAATTGACGATTTTATGTATTAACCAAAAAACAGGAAAACAACCATTTAAGTGCTGACTGATCTTCCTTTCCAGAAAATCATAACGCTCCTAGTTTCTGAATTATTTAAAGTTTTGTAAATTACATACGACAGTTAATTGACTAGACAAGCACTAAAGATGTGAGTAAACTTCACAGACACTTCCAAGATTTCTGTCATATTGATAGAGGCTAACACAAAGGTTTTGTATTTCACATAATGACCTTCTTTTTTGATAATAACTAAAGCTCATCAATTTAACAAGATCCAACATGAACCATAGACAGTTTTTGAGAACCTTTACAACTAAGATATGAAAACCAATCAGCCAACAAGAAAAACAAATTAAAACAATAGATATAACTTATTTGTTGGCTTTATCAAAACGCGTTTCAGTAAATATTTGCTGTTTAAATTCCATGCATCATGTGGTTTCTGCTTGTCTTCACTGTTTTAGGTTTTAAACAGATTCAGTTTTTCTTAGCCTTATTAAAGTAGATTGATTGTGCAAACAATTAAAAACAGTTCCAAAGACACTTCTAAGATTTCCCTAATATAGTGTAAAAGAGGTGAACTGTTGCATGAGACTAAGAGTGGACAAATTATGAGAGCCTAAGAAAACGTTCTGCCAGATTTGTCAAGGAAAAGAACAGGCAGTCAAGATGAAGGTCATCAGAGACATAAGAAAGAACCACTAGGCTTAATGAGCAAAAAAAGAAGATTTATTTAATGTTTTACTGAATGCAAAGATTTAAACATCACATTTAGCAAAATCTATTTATCAAGTTTATTAATTACAGAGCAACAAAGCCTTATATGTGGCATTGGTAAATGGAACAAGTTTATAAAATTCCACTTTATAGATAAATACAGAGCAAAAAGAGATTGCAATTAAAATTTCTTGTAAAGAAATGTAGTTATTTTCTGAATCATATTTCTTCTTTTATATACCCAATCCTTCCCAGATGTATACAAACATGACTCTCCACAACTTTCACACAAAGAAATTAGGTTATTCTGTGGATCATATTTCTTCTTTTATGTGGCATGTACTTTCAAGTTTTAGGTGATCGTGACTCTCTACAACTTCCTCAAATATTCTAGGTTATTTTGTGAACAATATTTCATCTTTTCTATACCAAGTCCTTCCCAGATGTATGTAATTCACCAATTTTGACTAAAGCTGGGAATTTTTAAGTTTCTACTCACTGATCAAAAATATTAAGAAACAAAAAATTTTGTTAGAAACAAAGAAAAAAGTGCTGAACTGTAATGCAATACCAGTCCTCCTGTATGGCAGTGAATGCTGGACAATCTCCTCACAGATGAAAAAGAGATTTAACGCAATAGAAATATGGTTCTATGGAAGGATAATGAGAATACCATAGATCAACATGCAAGCAACAACAAACTTCAAGAGACAATAGAAACAAAAAGGACACTTTTACTTAGAATCAGAAAAAGACAGCTGAAACTTCTATGGCACATAATGATCAAAGATGGCTTGGAGAATTTGATGTTCCTGGGAAATATTGATGGCAAGAAGGACAAAGGAAAGCAGTGAATAACCTACCTAAGAAACTTGTGTAAATGGTTGACAGAACAGAGATTAAGAAAGATATTAAAAAGACAAACTTTACTAAGGACAGGAAATTGTGGAGAGCCATGACTGCACATGTCCTGAAGGAAGATGATGCATAGAAGAAGAAACGCATATTGATATTTCACATCCTGGAAATTTTAATAACATCAGTTGGTTAATAGGAATAGAAAATGTGACACTGAAATCTGAAGACACATTGGGATAGCAAAAAATACCTTTGTAAATCTAAGTAAAGTATTAAGAAATGGGAAAATTTCATTAGGAAAAAAAAAAGAGTGCTAAAATGTTATATAATATCAGTCCTCTTCTTGGATAGTGAATGCTGGACAATTAGGAGAGATAGCAAAAAGAGAAACCTTACTAAGAGTTAAAAATGATGAAGTTGTGGAGAGCGATCATCACCCACACCCTGAAGAGAGACAGCACATAGAGGAAGAAGAATTTACAAGCCAGCAAGTGTCTAAAAGTTCACAGCATGACCCACTTGCTAAATTCTGACCAAACATGAGAGGGTTTTGTTTTTTTTTTACTAAGGGTTTCTTTGTCAGGCCAATGACCTTCCAACATGCCCTAATAAATGAAATGAAAAAAACGATAATTCATGGGGGACTATGATGAAAATTTCACAATCTGACCCTCTTGCTTCTTGCTCAAACTGAACTTTCAGCATCCACTCAGAAATTAGCAAAAAAAAAAAAGTATCTATGAGAAAGAATGATGAAAAGTTCTCATCCCAATATATTAAACATCAGATGCTTTTTTTTTTTTTTAGAAGAGCACTTTGGGTCAGGCCAAAAGCTTTTCAGCAACCACCACTTCATAAGTATACACACAAACACACATTTCCAATATTTTGCTAAAACAGATGAGAAGTAGACAGGTTCACCTGCAGTTCAAACCTGTAAATATCTATTAATCTATATAAATCAAACAAAACTGGTTCATATTGAGCACTGCCAAATACTAAACTCATTTATCTACAAGAATTAAGATAGACATTTTTTTTTTTTAGTAAAATATTGAATACTTACTGAAGAATTCAAATTCTGTACCCAAAGCTCCATTGTTCATCAAAGTAATTGTTTTCCTCAAGACATCTTCAATAACAGTGGTTTCAAAGTCAACAGTAGTCAGGTCAACACTTAACTGAAATTAATCATGAAAAATAATTTTTTTTTTAATGATGACCTTTGATTTTTATTAAAAACAAGTAAAAAAGAAAATAAATAAAAATACAATTAAAAAAATTAAATTTAAAATTTTAGAATAATAATAGGTGTTGGTTGGCAGCACCCATTTCCTTTCCAAAATGCAACAGGTTAAACTCAGTAACAGGGTACTAGTAACAAAGAATTGGAAGTTGATTGTCAAATGCCCAAGATGAACTATCTCACAAAGCTAAAGAGTTCCAATTCCCCTCTTATTTATTCATAGTGACTCACAAAGGGAAATGAATTCATGACTTTCCCAATGGTATTTTGTTACAATAACAATAATGAAGGCACTTTAGTTGCTAAGGGATCAACCATAGGTAGGGAAAATTATTCAAATACACTCAACTGAAAAAGGTAGACAGAGATCTGATTTAAAGTGAAATCCCAAACGGTAGACATTGGTTTGATTTACACTAGAATTCAAAAAGGTAGACATAGATCTAGTGTACACCTTAGTCCAAAAGACAAACATAGGTCTGTTTAAACTAGAATTCAAAAAGGTGGACAAAGATCTAGTGTACACTTAGTCCAAAAGACAAACATAGGTCTGGTTTAAACTAGAATTTAAAAAGTTAGACATACGTCTAGTGTACAGTTTAGTTAAAAAGACAAACATAGATCTGGTTTAAACCAGAGTCCAAAAAAGTCTTGTAAAAAGCTGAAATGGAGAAAAATATTAAAATTATTTTCCTTTCAAGTCAACTTATCTTTAAAATAAAATATAATTAAAAAATTATAGGTAAGAAACTTTTTCTTCTCAAGTTAATCAGCAAAAAGTCTATACAGTATTTTCACAATCAGGTAAGGGAAAAAAAAGGGTTGTTGTCCTAAGTTTAAAACCTAATTACTTACATATTTATATTCAATGTATTTTAGAATTTAAAAAAACCCCCCCCCACCAAAAAAAAAAAAATTAAAACAATGACGACTTATGAAAAAAAAAAAATACTGTATTCAAATATTTGCTGATTTAACAAAGAGAGCAACACCATTTTATTAAAAAAAAAAAACCTGAACAAAAGAAGGAAAGTTTAAAGACAAATCATTTTTGTTATTATTTTCTTGCTTTAAAAATTGCTTTTCAAAGACTTGAACCACTATGTGTAAACAACAAGGTTAGCAGTCTGGAAAAGTGCAATGAAATGAAACAATCAACCGCAAGGTAATGAAGGATCCTTTCTTATGAGATTAGTGTCAAAGTAGTTTACCTTTAGAGAACAAATAAATTCCCAAAGGTAAATTAGAGAAGAATCTCTGAATCTCTAATTGGAAATTCTCAAGAATTGATCAACTGCTGAGCTGAAAATTGTAGTCCAACTAGTATTCACTGATGGTCATCATTTTCAACAACCTTTTATATGCAAGAAAAGAAATTAACATAAAACTTAGTTAAATCTAACCATTTCAACTGTAAAATGATGACACTAAAAATAATTAGGACAATCTTTTTCCTCATCAATCCTCTTAATACTTTACTATAGGTCATATAGTGAACATTATGCAATGAAAATTTCAGATCAAAGATAGTAACAATGGAATCATTGATTGACTATTCCATGTACATACACACACATACATAAATATATATATATATTATATATATATGTGTGTCTGTATATACATATATATATATTTCTGTGTGTATACGTGTATTTATACACAAGGTGTGATAGATAAATTATCATCTAAATTACGTAAAAATGAAAATAACACTGACATCTCATTTTCACATTTGTATTTACTGAAATTACACAAAAATGTCTTGAAATACTAAAGAGTAAATTTATTCAATAAAAAAATTGATATTTGGCTTTTCAACCATGGCCTCCAGACGACTTTTGGAAATTCCTGCAACTGTTCTGGATGGTCTCCTTGTTTCAGTTAATCTTTGGTGTTATAAGGTGGGGGTTTTTTTTGCACTTTAGCTCAACTGTGCCCTACACATAATAATCAAGTGGGTTACAGTCTGGGGAGTTAGGTGGCCAGATGTAAAGGATGATGTGGTCACAGAAATTGAAAGCCATGACTGGGTTCTCCTGCTTGTGTAGCATGGGTCAGATTCCTGTTTCCAGACATAGGATCTTCCAGCAGCCACCCTCTTGACCCAGGGCAGCACTACCTCCTCAAGGTACTTGATGTAGGCCTTCATATTTAGTCTGAGACCCACACCAAAAAAACCCGGGAGTTCTTTTCTTATCAGAAGGATCAGAGTGAGTTTTCCGAGATGCTGTACCTTCATAATCACCATTAGACTCATCCAACTCTTTCTGAAACCTCTGCACTGTCCTCAGATTGTCATCCAAACACTCGGAAATGTTTGTTATTGGAGCTTCCAGCACAAATGCCAAGTGGCACAGCATGCCATTTCCAAATTTCTAATGGAGTGAATTATGTCAACGTGCTCTTTTTCTCACAAACAGTGCCCAACTGATCCTTCTATACTGTGTAGTCAACAAAATAAAAAACAAACAGCGTGCATGCAGGAAATTAAAAATATAAGATGGCAACCTATCGCACCCTGTAGGAGAAATTTTATAAGCTGATATGTAATTACTTAACAGTTGAAGCAGAAATTGAAGGTGTTGCAACACAAGTTATTTCAAGTGTTGACTGAGTTTCTCCTACAGGGTGCTATAATAAATTATAAGAAAACATAATATATATATATATATATCCACTGCACAATAAGTTGTTTTGTGGTGTTACAGCATCTTCAATTCCTGCTGGAATTGTTATCTAATACTTATGAAGTTAATATATATATATATATATATATATATATATATATATATATATATATATATATATATATATATCATCATTCACAGACAGTACTGTTTCACTGTATCACAGCTCCTCAGTGCAACTAGGCATCCAAATGCCTCAAGCCAGGATCAAAACCCAACCGATTTGGTGTCAGTCAGAGCTTCTACCATTGAGCTGTCTTCACTCAGCAGAGTTACACAATGAATGTAAACAAATGCCAATCAGCCAAAGTGCTCCATTCATTTTACTGAAGAGCTTTGCATTAGCGCAGGTGGGACGGACCTACTCAAAAAACACGATACCTAAGGCTTAAAATGATTTTTTTTCAAAATTAAAAATGTTTCTTGAATTTTTTATTTTATTTTTAATTTCAAGCTAATAGATTAACTTTAATATTTTCAATGAGAAAAATACTTCACTGTATTTCAAAAACTAATTTAAATTGATTGGTTTTTTTTTTTTTTGGTAAAATAGCTAATTAGCACCCCTTTTTTAATTGCTTTTCATCACAATGCAATTCTCATCATTAAAAACGCCTTACGAAAATGAAATATACTTTTTTGAAACTTTATTTAAGGAATATTAGCAGATTTAAAGTATAATTAATGAGATTTGAAACATATTATTTATTTTAAGTTTAAAGTATCATAGAAATGCATTTTTTAACCCAACAATAGCCATGTTGACATACTGACAGCCTGATAACAGATCTCATATTGTTCTACAGAGTTCTTTATCTGTAAAATGTAATTGAAGAAAATGACAGGAGCCTCTTTTTATATATAATTCTTTAAGTACTCAGTAATGTTAAAAATTTAGGAAAATATTCTTTGTAATCTAATATCTTATTGAATTTTAGAAATGTTGCCTCTAAGTTTACTATAATTATCACTTTTATTTTCTGATAATGTCATGTATGGTGGCCCATACTTACAAAAAGTTGGCATGTTTATCCACATACAAAAAAATTCAAAATTCTTATTGGTGTTTGATGATTTGTATTAAGTTTTTCCATTTATGATTAGTAAATATAGTTTTCCCTTAATAATATCATCTAAAAAGCAGAAATTAATACAGAATTTTGAAAGATTTAAAAGTTAATAAATTTACTAATTAGAATTTTAAGAAAAGTCCTTAATAAATCTTATTTATGCAAGTAATTAAAAGCTTTTCTAATTATATAATATCATAGTTTTATTGCATTTTTTATTTTACAATTCAGAGCAGATTTCTGGTAAATGGTGTTTCTGTTTGACAAAAACAAATTGATGATTTAAAATCTCCAAGGAATCCTGCTTTTAACTAATATAAATATGGAGAGGATGACATTTTAATTTCTTAAAATTTCATAAAATTTTGTGGAGGTAGAGGCATAAAAGAAAAAAAATATTTAACAAGATTTTCTAAAAAAAAAAAAAAATTTGCAAAATAATTTAATTCATTTGTGAATAAGACCTGAAAATGTCATTAAGATCCAACAATTATTTGATTTTTACAAGAATTTTAAAATGAATGTTTTTTTAAAGCAAAAAAAAAAATATTAAATTTCCCATACTAATCTTTTGCCCACAGCTGACACAACCAAAATTTTGAATGTGCTAGAATGGATTAAAATTTTTTTGAGGTAACTAATATATATATATATATATATATATATATATATATAAAATAATCATATATATTAATAGCTGATGGTCTAGGTAAAATGTTATGCTATGCTCGTGCACTCACCTAGTGAAATTTTAGTAGAGATCTGCCAAATATCTAAATAAAAAACATATTTCACACAATAAAAATAATTAAAAGAAAGTGCAATTATGCAATTTTAATTATAAACTTATTAATTTTAACCCATCAGAAACCATTTTTTTCAATTGAAAAAAATAAAGAATAGTTACATAAAAATTAAAACACACCTCCAAAATATTTATAAACCAATAACATAAATAAAGTGCTTACATCTCAAAACACACCAATTAAACTGTACAATACAAAACCATAGAATACAAATCAGAAAGGTTGTTTTATTAGTCATTATAATTTAGGTCTACCGCCAAAATATTGTGCAGACACAGTAGTAAGCATACCACATAACTTTTTAAGGCCAATTAGTAATAAGTAAAATTATATAATTCAGCAGCCAATTTCTCAGGAATAACGGTATAA